AAACTCTTCCTTCCACCAGTTTTTTTTATTATCAATGCTATACTAATGATTTTTCAGTTTCATCCTTTTCCATCACTTTCATTGTTTTTTCACAGTTTTCATGAGTTTCATCAATTTTCATCATTTTCCATCATCTCCATCATTCTTCATCATGTCCATCATTTTCCTCATGTTTCCCCCCTTTTTTGTTTTCATAATTTGTTCACCTTTTTTCATCATTTTCATCATCTTCAATCGTGTCTGTGATTTCATCATGTGTCATCATGTTTCATCATTCTTCATATTTGATCATGAATTTTCAGCAGTTTTCATCATGTTCATCAATTTTCAGCAGTTTTTCATCATTTTCATCATTTTCTCATCATTTTTCATCATTTTCATCACTTTTCATCAACTTTCAGCAGTTTTTCATCATTTTTCATCAGACGAGGAAGGCAAGAAAGAAAGGAAGGAAGAAAGACAGAAAGACGGGGAAGTAGGAAGCCAGAACGACATATATCCTTTTTGAAGAGTTTAGACTACATGTGACTACGTATTAATGATACTAAGAATTTGTATACTTATAATGATGAATGGAAGGGGGTTCCACACCCTCCAGTTTTTAATTTAGTAGTGATGATAATAGAATAATACTCATCGTAATAATAAATGGGGGGGGCTCCGCCCCCCCCCAACCCCCTCCGGCGGCGGGGGGCTGCGCCCCCCCTCGACCCCACGCTTTTTTTATTAAGCCGAACATGCACGCGGTCGAATTCGATTCCACCAACCCTAAACCCCAAACCTCTAAAAAACCAAACCCTAAACCCTAAACTCTAAATTCTTGGGGCTCTTGAAAGGCTACGAATACTGCGACTTGCAGCATTTGGAGTTCTTGAAAGGCTGCCAATGCTGCAAATTGCAGCATTTGCGGGCTTTCGCAATTTTCCATGATTTTGATTTTTTTTTGATCCTCGGCCTTGAACCCGCGAGCCCCAATCCTTGAAGCTTTCGCCATTTCCACAGGATTTTGATTTTTTTGATCCTTATTTTGTTTTTTGATTCCCGGCTTTGATTTTTTGATCCTTATTTGATTTTTTTGATCCCTCACCCGCTTCTGGTCCTCACCGATGGTGTCCCTCAAATGCTCCAGCAAACAAGGTATAGACAGCTCATGAGTGGGATCAACTGGTTGACATCTAGGATCTCCTGAAATGTGGTATGGGATATCATCCTCAACTGCGAGGGCAACGAGCTTTCCATTTGGGGTAATGAGATAAGGGTGTTTGCCAGACAACCACACAAAGTGATAACCTTCTTGCATGCATCTCCTACCAATCGAGAGAACAGAGGGAGTATCAGGGAGGACGTAAGGCTCAACGCTCTCATCAAACTCCACTATGTTCATGGTAACCACATCCATATCTTTCGTATTCCCGTTGGCCGTCTGAAATTGTATGGGATTCTTGGCCTTTGATCTGCGCAACTTGTGGTCCTCAACTTTGGCCTTGGAAATCAAATCAGACCCACACCCCGTATCCATGATCCATTGATGACCCTCATGATGGTTCCCCCCCCTCGATCCCTCATCTCCAGATCCATCTTCGGGCACAGACGCGAGGGCGCTACGTTCACTTCTGAACTCAGACTTGATGAGATCGTGAGTCACGCAATCATTCTTCTTATCATACTGGACCACCCAAGTCATCCCAGGTCCTGCCCAGGCCTTCTTGTTCTTGAAGCGTCTCCTCGATGCAACCTCATGAATGAGTTCTCCAGCAGCAATGGCAGCCTCAGTCTGCACCTTGACGTTCTCAACGCGTTCTGGGTCTTCGAAGAATGTGGTGTTACATAACCTGGGGTTACTATGCCTTTGATGCGGGTCCTTAAGAGTCCTCCAACGAGCCCCGTACCTGACGGGCACAACGAAGGTCTTAGTGTTGATCGCGTTAGAGAAGCTCACACTTTTCTTCTGCTTTTGCAAAGATGTGGATGTCACCGCCATTTTGATGGCAGGGGCAGCTGGTTTGTCGACCTTGCGGGAGTAAGGACACTTGTCTCCCCGACTGCAGTTACCCTTTTGAAAATCCCTACAAGCTTTATCACCCCTTCCCTTTGGCGAAGCGCTCCTAGATCGAGGTGGTCCAAGCTTCTCGGCCTGTTCCCTCAACCCTATGCACCCAACCACCACAAAAAATAGGGTCGAAGGCCTTTCACAAGTGCAAACTATGGTGGTTCGCCAACCACCCCAAAATGCACCTGCTAGTTTTGGCTTCATTTTCTATGTAATATGGCTATATGAATAACGGTCACCCGAGCATATGAAGCCAAAAATAGAAGATGCAAGGAGAAGAATGCACAGATTTCTCTTTCATTTCCAGCTCATTGTCTGCGCTTGATAGCTTGCTCATTCAATCGGAGCCTGCGCAGAATGCACATGTCAGAAAGTATTTTAAGCTTGAATGTGACGATTTGATTCTTGACAATCCTGGCCTCCCCAGCTTGACTTTCAAAGACATGTACCTGACCCAGAGGCCAATTTACAATACGTCAAGCACTCTAGCGCAAGAATTGAACATGCCTGAAAGCAACAGTCCGGAGAGTCGTCTTCTCGAAAGATCGTTGCCGAGCATGGCGACTTATCCCTCAGCTCTTTTGTGCTGAAATCCTTGCGCAGGACACGCGTAAAATCATAAAAAGAATTTGCGCCGAAGGGCGTTTAAGATAGCCCATGCAATCCTCTTCCATAAAGCCGTGTAGAAACCGAGGGTTTTGGCCTTAGTGAATTATACAGTGCAAACAACACCCCCAACCCCAAATTGATAGGCAAGCAGCGCCACTCCTTCAATTTCTGGAGTTGCTCATGGAATGCCTCATTTGTTGATTTTAGTGATCCAGATTCTGAATTTTTACACTGGCATGCTCGGAAAAAATAAGGCAGACAAGACGCGTGCATTTTCGGTTTGATGATCCACCTCTTGACACCAAGCCTCACAGCAGAGGTATTACGGAAAAAGCAGATTCAAAAACAAACATGAGATGCCCCACCTCATCACGCACAGTCGCGTCAAAGCAACATGGGATTTCAGGCATCCAAGGCCGGCTTCATACATCTCAGTGGCCATTGCCGGCTCCCTTAGCTGCAGGTATTCCTCATGAGCGAAATCCCAGGCTGTAGGAAAAGGTTTACCAATGCAGACAAAGCTCACAAAGCGTGGGGAAATCTCGCTCAACGAAAAATATTTGTCGATTGACATCCTAGTTGAAGCACCGTTCATGGAAATTAATTTCAAAAACGATTCAGAAACTAAACAAAAATTAGATCAGAGCATTTCCGTACTGCCGTAGGGCCACAAAGCATGGGTGCACAGCTGCAACTCTGCAGACGGGTCAATGGTCATATCCAAAACGGATTTGCTTTTGTCCGCCAAGAAGGCACAAATACAACGGGAGTTCCAGCCCTTCGCTGAGAAATATGCCCCGTGAGCATTTTTGAAAAGCATCCTGTATGTGAAGGGCCTTTGCGAGCAATACTTCCTCGTTGCTCTTTGCCACTGTCGAAAATCCAGATACGCCTTCTTCAAGCAAGCATCAAAGCCTTCAGCAGAGAGATTGCCAAACACATTCATTTCCAGCAGACAGACCAACCCGCCCCCATTGATCGTCCATAGGAGGCCCAAATTCAGATTGTGAAGAGAACACCACGTAATACAGCTGACATCGAATTGTCGAAGCAAAATCAAAGGGGTCACCTCGTTCGGGGACAATATCTCAGCTATGAAGTTTGAATTTGATCGCCACCGCAGATTCGAGGGAAGATTTGCATACTCTTTGTTGTTCATGTGGCACATGTGGCACATTAGCGCGCTGTTCCAGTGGGACTTCATGTTAAAGGTTTCACGAAGAGCTTTCCAGTCCATCCCGATCTCAGTCACCTGAAAGCGGAAACCTTCCCGCGTTGGCTCGTCATAGGCAAGGTTTAAAGAATACACCAGCGCAGAAATGATTGGGCGAATCGTCATCCACCCAAGGGATCTTCGTAAGTTGATGACTGCCACGGGCCACTTGCTCGTACGGGAATTCTTTGGTCTGAACAGAGGACAACTTATCACAAACGCGAAGATTTTATCACCTTGATCGTTTACCTGTGCATCATCTGAGAAGAGCTTCAAGGGAATACGACTGTTGTCTTCGGATTGGACTGCCCATGGGATTCCGGATCTTGTGGATTCATTCCAGTAGTCTCGAAGTGCTTGATCAGGGACCCTTATACCCACATCATCAAACAAATATCGAAGAACTTCATGGGGATGGAAGATGGGCACTGCAGCTTCGTACCAAGCACTGGCAGGATCTGTAGCTGGCTGCTCCGTCAATGGGACAGTAACATCATGCATCTTCTAGGTTCTGATAAGAATCTCACACTTGAAGATTTATAACTTCAAAAAATGCAACAAAAAGTTCGCAATAAACACAGCCGAGCAACGAAAGGCATGGGGGCGTATTTGGCAAAGTTTCGAGCCATATTGTCTCTACCATTATACGAAGCCAATTTCCGCGTAGCATGCGAAGCATTGTGTCCAGCTTCCTGATCGGGTTTAGAGAATTCCGTAGCAAATATGATCATGTATAATACAAATACAGGCCTAGGATCTTGCAGCAATGCGCTGTCCTCCGCAGCTGCCTGCACATTCTTCATCTGCTTCTGGATGGATGAAGCCTAGATGAGCTACCCGGCTAGTAACTTCACATGCAGCATATCCTTGAAGGTGAGTCCCCAGCTCCATCCCCCAACTCCTCCAACATGTGTTCGAACACTGGCCCTGATCTGGGTCCATAGATAGGACCTGGCATATGGTTTTCAGTGTAGATCATGCCGACTCAAGCTAATATTGCAGTTCAAACTTCGGATGCGGCAATTGCAAGATCAAGCATCTCATGTTGATTTTTTTGCCCCGCCGTTGAGCACGAAGGTTTGAAAGTCTCGGCACGCACATGTAGAGGGTACAGGTCTAAGCCTCGTGAAACCTTCCCCAGGAACCACTCGGCGCCCTGTAGCTGCTAAATGCGTGTTCCAAAAAAGCATTGTGGATCATTGCAGGCTTAACCGGGGTACCCAGTACCGTATTTGATGATTCATATACGTATACCCTGATCTGCCTTGACCCAAAACGCGAAGAATCCTACTTCTTTCCCTTCTTGCTGGTGACCTTTGACGGGGCATCCTCATTATTCTTTTCATCCTTCGACTTGAAAGGAACAGTGAGCTTGTCGTAGCTCGCGATCATCTCCATGAGCTTCTCGCACGTAGCCGGCAACTTCGAAACCTGGGATGCGGGATGGACTATTACAGGAGTAGGGCTTATGATTCTGGGATCCAGGGTTCGAAAAAGTTACTTCAAGGGTCCTAGGGCTTTAGGTGAGTGGGGCTTCCGAGGGTCCTAGGGCTTCAGGGGAGTGGGGCTTCTATTTTAATACAAGCTCGACTTGGGAATTATCATGGAGTGATGTTGGGATTGAGGTGCTTGAATGGGCTCATGCGGGTTTATGATATTTCGAATCGATTTTAGCTAGACTATATAGGGTTAATAGGGCTCAGGGTTTAGGGTTTACTAATTTAGCCCGATAACATCATTCGAATCGATCAGCTCTTGCAGCGCATTGCGCTTCTCCCGGAGAGTGCACGCGTTCTGCTTGACATCATCGAGCAAGTTTTTGCGAGTTTTCGCACTCCTTAGCTATATAAGTCTTGATCATCGCCAAATTGGATGAGTACCATTAAAGCCAAAGAGCATATGCTGGACCTTGTCAGCACTCATTTTGGAGCCTTCCTGGATGCGTTTCGAAGTCTGTGCCACCACCTGCACATGTGCGCGCAAGGGATTCATTAAAAAAACAAAAGACCAAGTTGTAAGCTCTGACTTATGAAGCAGGAGGGAACTTTTGGAATCGGGGGAGCTAATACAATTTTTAAATAGCACCACTGTCTAAACAATATTCGGGGAACTTGCCGTTCTGCATATGGGGTAGTGTACGGGAATATCCAAAAAGCCCTGAGCCCTCAACCCTAAACCCAAAACCCTTAACAGCCAATGGCCGACACACTCGTATAGCAACCCCAATTGCATATGGTACCCGGTTATTGGAATCCCAAATCTGGGCCGGGGATATGGCTATAAACCTCTTAAAACCATGAACCCAAAAGCGATCCTCTGGCCTTCTTAGCCTCCTTAATGATATCATCATCCGAGGTTGGCTGGGCACCTGCCTGGCAAATGGGCAGCGCAGCCAATCAGCAATGATTTAGAAATAATTCTTGATGGGCGGACCTTCTTCGTAGCTTTGTTCTTAGCTTTGGCTTTTGCTTTGAGCTTCAGTGGGGTCCTTTTTCCCCTCTTTAGGGGGGTTCCACGGGCACTGCCAGGGCTTGGGGGCGAGGGTCCTTCAGAGAGCTTGAATATGTCGGTGATCCAATCCTCCTTCACTTCCTCCTGGGACTCGTGATCCAGCACCCAATATTGTCGAGCAGCCTGCAAGGATATTCGATAATCAAACTGCATGTACATACGTGCATGAGCTGAAAAAACATGGCCTCACATCCCGGGGCATCTGGATGGTCTCGAATTTCTGTGTCCCGTAGCTTCTTGACGCTCCACTTGTGCGCTATCACCGCCTCACAAGCTTCGGCTCCAAGGAGTCGCGTAATCTCAGCCCGAGACATCCACTTTTTCACGCCCCGTCGAACTGTACCAGTCTTGCTGGTTATGTTCTTGTAGACCGTGCTCTGGTTCCAATTCTCATTCGCAGCACACCAGGACTCGTACATATACTGCATCTGCCGTCTAGTTCCTGGGCCACCAAAATTCATTCAAAAAAATAGCCACTGACCCCATGAGAGAAATACAAATGAGCAGCCGCTTCGTAGCTTCATATTGTCGCCAATCTGAACGATTTCATGCGGACTCCTGGGGCCTCAAGTTTTAGAAGATTATGAGCCGAGGTGCG